TGTGGGTGCAAGTTGGGGTGCTCATGAGGACAGAATGGGTGGTGCACCCCCTGACCAAGTTCTAACCATCATGCGGTTTTCCTCAAGGGAGAAAGTGTGCTGACTCTATCAGAAAGAAAAACCTTTTACATTCATTAGACATTCAAATATTTGTGCCTTGAAAGAGTTTTACTGCCTCTGCAATCTTCACTTTTACCTCTCTATAAACACGATATGCTGGGCAAAAGCCTACGAATCCATTCACACATCAAATTATGGGCACATTTATCATTGTGAAAACAGCACATTGGAGGGTACTATATATAGAAAGGGTGAGGAGTTTATGTTGTTAAATAATCTCCAGGAGGAAATGTCTGACATTCTCAAAGGCTCTCCCCTCCCCCATTTATGCCTTTGATCACTTCCTACCTTTTTTGAGGCCTTGGTATGCTCTTTCTTCCTCTCATCTCTCTTCCCCTTACGAGGTGGCCTGATAGCAGTTTATGTTTTTACTTATTTATTAAACAGTTCAAATAGCCTGTTTGTTGAGCCAGGCATTCTTCTAAGCACTTTGCAAATATTAACTCATTTAACCTTCATAACTATTCTTTGAGGTATCTACTGTTATCATCACTCCCTTTTTACAGACGAGGAAGTGGTAAGTAGAGATATTAAGGAACGTGCATAAGGGCACACAGCCAGAGAGAGAGAGCAAGCTGCATGGCTGGGATTTGAACCCAAACCTCCACAGGGTATTTAATCTAGCTGCAGTGTTGGGGGGTTGTAGACAGATTCTGCTGAGGGCCCACCAGCTCAAACCGTGGTAGGCTTTTCCCCATTCACCTAGCCTTTTCTGCTTCTGCCCAAAGCATGCAGAGCTCTCTATAGAGAGATACTTTTGAAATGCAGAGGTTGACAGCTTTAATTGTGGATCCACACTGTGGTTTTGGCTAGTCTGCTGGTAACTGACTTCGTAGTAGTCAGTCTTTAAAAATAGTTTAATATCCATACTGTTTTTGTTGGATAATTGCATGTCTTTAATTTGTGGTATTATAAACAGAGCAATAATCTGGCTCAGGAGAAGCCAGAGAAAGTTATTTGATATCCATTAAGTCAAGTTTCTATTTTTATTCACCTCCGTAGAGGTGAGTATTATTACAGTCAGGAAAAAGCAACATCATGAAATATATTCTAATAGGTGTTCCCTGACTGGATAGATTTAAAAAAATAATGCCTTTTGAAGAAGGTAAGCTTCCTTCTGCTTCCTTCCTTCGCTAACAGAACAAGTAAATATAATTTTCTCCTTAGATATTATGCCAGTTTAGCTTTCTTTAGAATATATATTTTAAAGGGGAAAATTAAATCACACCTTTTTAGTTCATGGACTTGGAACAGTGATTGGTCTTTAAAGACCTATTTAAACTGCTGCTACCTAAAACATTTACCTTACTCAGAAAGTTCTTGATAAATAAAAACATTAAATATGTAAAATAATTACTTATTTTAAATATAAAGTCTCCAGATAGTAATTATATTTTAAACAAGGGCATCCATAGTCAGTGATTGCTTTTCATCAGTGTTCTGTGATTTAGTTGATTTATTATGTAGTTACATGTAAAGAATAGATTATTCAGGTAGCATCTTCTATCAGAAGACATTTCAGGGGTCTGAAAACTTGAGCCTAAGCTAACTGTTCAGTCTTTCGAGAGAAATCACTCCTTTTGGCTAGCCCAATTGGTATAGTATTTAGATTAGCTCACAGGTTTCCATTTTACCTGACAGAGTCCAAAGAGCCAGTTAAGACATATATGAGTGGCCTTCCTGGGGCCCTGACAGCTACACACAGGAAGAATGTTTGCAGTGAGTCATATTTCTACCATTTTACAGATGGCATAGCTGAGGCACTGTGATTAAGTGGCTTGCCCTCAATCACAAAGCTGTTTAGTAGACCCAGGAAAGTCAGGTACTCATTCCAGGTAATCCTGGTTTCACATCCAAGTCCCACCAATTCTAAATTCTGCAAGTTACAGCTCCTGTACCGGCCTATAGGTAGGTTACCAGCTGGAAGTTGAATCTAAAGTGAGAGGATGTTGCTCACAGTCACTTTCTAGGAGAAGGAAGCTACCAAGGTTTGCTGTAGCTAAAAGAGCTGACATGGAGCTAACGGTCCCGCAGACCCAACCCTCGTGGACCCGCTGGCTCTCTGCTGATCCCCCGCGGCTTTAGTGCATGAGGATTCAATCAGCCCCAGACCGCTGGCCGGGGTGGGGGGCAGGAGGACTGTAAATCTGGGAAAGCTGCAAGCATTCAGGGTCTTGAACTTTATCAGGTTTAAATGTGTGATTGTGAAAGTAAAGAGCCGAGAAATGACAGCACTCAGTAAATCAAACATAGAGAAGATCAGGACTGTCAGAGACAAGAGAAAAACAGGCGCTGGGCACAAACCCGCCTGAAAGCCGGCAGGGAGGGGGAGACTTTTATGTTCTCTCCAGACTTTGCCTTTTGAAAAACAAATCTCTTTCTCTGTTGTTTTTTATCTAGAGAACAGTATTCTTTGTTATATACCACAGATTTCTTTTTTAAGTTTTCCTGAGTGAGGTTTAGGTCTTGTTTTGGAAGACAGGGTACTATAAGGGAAAAAAATAAAACTGAAAGAAAATCAGTTGGAAAATGTCTGGAATGGCCTAGATTTTCCTCTGTCAATAGTGTGTTCCATTTTCAGAAAAAAACTGGAAAAAAATAATGTGTTCCATAGCTCATCAGACATATTTTTTTATTCCATAACAGCAATGTAATTAAAGTAGAATAAGTCCCATATATGTGTGTGTGTGTGTGTGTGTGTGTGTGTATATATATATATAAAATCTCAATACCAAATTGAAAGGTTTAAAGCATGAGAGAAGTGTAGCTAGCTGACCAGGTCAATTTAGTCAGTTCTTTTTTCTTCCTGATATCTAATGCCAGTCCTCACAGCTCCCTCCTTCATGGCCCCATCTGTTAAGTCACTCCTATCTACTGCCCAAAAGGAGTTCCAGGGAGAGGGTGCTGCTTTCCTGGAGCAGAGGATGAGCCTTGAGATTACTATCTCTGTCCTGCAGAAGACGTTGGTTGGTTGCTGGCATTTGCAAGGGGAATAACAAGGAATGTTTCCTCTTCAAAGGAATCAAAAGCAAGTAAAGGACCTTTTTGCTTCACCTCCCTCCTCCCCCCTTTCCGACCATAATGCAATAAATAAAGTCCTTACTGCTGGTACGTAGGAAAGGCCTGAGACCTCTGGTGAACAGCAATCTCCAAGACGCTCTTTCCTGGGAATTAATTTAGCTTCAGGGGACAGTTAGGAAAGAATTAAAATTTGGTGGAGTATATTATATGAATCTATTATGCTGTAGATATTGATAATAACCGTTCACTTTTCTATAGTGCTTACTATGTGCCAGGTACTATTAGCACTTTACATAAAAGAAACATTTTAATCTTCTCAACAATCCTGTACTGGAGGTACTTTTATCATCCGCATTTTACAGATGAGGAAACCAAGACACAGAGAGGTTAGGCGACTTGTTCTGGTCACACAGCTAGTAAGTGGTAGGGAGAGGATTCAAACCCAAGCAGCCTGGCCCAGCGTCTGGACTTCTAGAAAGTCTCTCAGTGTGTGAGCTAGAGCGACTCCCTTCTTTTCAAATAAACCACGAAGCCTAGAGGAAAATCTGAGCCTGAGTATTTCACTAGAGAAGGAAAAAGGCTCAGACATCTCCCTCCATCTTGGAAATTCCCTGTGGTACTTGGCCTCGCCAGCTCTACAGAAGTGCCAATCTTCTAGACTGTAAACACTTCAAAACTAGAGGCCAACTCTAATTTTTCTTTTTGCAGTGCGTACGGTTGGGCAAGTGCAGGACCCTGGGTAGACAACCCCTTGGTCATAATTCTCTGCATATTTGCAGCATAGCTAAGTGGAGAGGTCATATTTCTGGGTGGCAAATGCGGTAATTGTTTTTATTTCTTGGGCACATTTTTTTTTCTTTAATTGATTCAAGGAGAAACGTTAGTTACTTAGCAAATCTTCAAAAGCCTACTACCTCCTTTTTCTGCTACCCCTTAACACCCTTCCCCTGGGGAGGGGGGGGGGAGGAACACAACAACACACAGTCAGAAAGGTCTCTGACCTGAGACAGCTCTGGGGCAGTGGCACCTGGACCCTGACCCTGGAATTGGCATTGCCCTCACACTTAATACCAGCAAAATCCAGGGAAAGCCCATGGTTTGGGGCTTTAGAACTTTCTGTATTTCTTTCACCTTCTTGGGTGTAGAAATGATCTCTTTCTCTCTGATGATCTGATTTTTCCCTTTCCCCGGAGGCTGGGTGAGAAGTAAGCATTAGATTTCGGAGTTCACCTTATTTGGATGGGGAGAGGGAAAAAGAGAGGCAGCTCATTCTGGGGCCCAGCATGAGGTGACAGACAGAAGCTGAAGATGCTGGACTGACTTTTGGAATTCAGAGCCTTGTCTCCAACTTGGACAGAGAACAGAGGGGAAGGCAGAAGACATGGGAAGAAGCCCCACTGCAGGGAAGTCAAGGGGTCCCATGTGCCAGCCCCAGCCTTTTAAAAGCGATAGAAAAGGCTGATTCAGGCCTTAGGGGAAGACTCGAAAACATGGCATCATACTCCCCAAGCCCACTTTTCAGGATCAGGAAACTGAGTATTCCTCGCTTCACCTTTGGCAAAAAGGAAGGGATCACCCTAAGGGCAGGGCCCGGGCCCAGCTGGCAGCCCCAGGCTTTGTGTAGTGATGCCAGTAGTAATTAATAATGATAATAAATACCACACTTCATAACCCAACCCAACCTGAGGATGACTGAATCATTGGACCTCTGCCTCCCACCTGCAGCATATGCTGTTAGTCTGCGAGTCCACACCCTCCCATTAGCTTGGGTCTAATCCAGCTGCCAGGTTCCAGCCACCGGGTTCTGACGGGGGTTCAAAAGGTCTGCTCCCCAGGACCAGAGACGTGGAGTAACACGGCCCCTCAGCAAAGCCGCAGGGAGCGCGGGTGGGAAGGTAGAGGTGGGCGGCTTTGCAGTATCCAGCATCAGACAGTAATAAAGATGGGATGGGAATTCAGGCCCCGCTGAGCTCGGTTTGGTTTCTCTGCGATGTGCAAGGGGCTGCTTTGGGAGCCCAGCTCCCGCCTGGAGTTCCCCGGATCCGGGACCCCCAGGGCCTGGCACTCCCAGGTCCGGCGGCCCAGGACCTGCACATTCCGGGTGCCGGGGCCGCAGGTCCCATGGACGTAGCCGAGGTCCGGACCGCTGAAGTCCAGGTCTCAGGACGTCAGGGTGCGCCCAGGCCGCTGGGAGGGAGGCCGGCGCCGGCCTGGAATGTCTTTATCGGGATCCGGGAGCCACCCGCTTCTCCTTCTCTTGTCCAAGCGATCGCGGAAAGACACCTTTCCATCTTTTGTCAGACATCTCGGCCCTTAATAGCTAAATTTATTTGGTTTAAAGCGGCCTCGGGAGAAGCAGGGAGGGAAAATCTTTCGTCGGTCATTGGGTGGCCGAGATAACAAGCTTTAAAAGAGAGAGGGGAGAAGAAAGTAAAAAGGTTAATGGACGAGGGGAGGGCTCGGAGGCGCCCAGCGAGGGGCTTTGACGGCGACCCTCCCCCTTATCGCGGCCCTAACCTACCCGCGGCGCAAGCAGTACATTAAGTCGCGTAAACAGCGCGCGGAGAGGAATGCCACCGCGGTGACCTTTCGTGCG